TGAATATCCTGTTGAACACAAACAAGCTCTATGTTGTCTTTAAAAGAGCCAAGTGTTTTTTGCGCTTAAGTACGTGGCAGTCTCCCCATCACACCTAGAACGGCACTCATCTTTGAAGGAGTCAGCTGCCTCAGAACAAGTATACAAGCAAAATTCAAAGTTGAAATAAAAAAATGGATTAGTATTTCAAATGAAGTTTCAACTTAGACAATTACTTTAGTCAGAATATTCATCCACAGCAGAACAAAAAACATCTGTAAATATACAGTTATATATAGTGTTTTAAATATATAATTAAAACATACAGTAAGACATTCTTCTTGGTTACATATTGCTCAACCTCAAACAGATCACAATGAAAATAATAATACCTCAACACAAGTCAAGTGGATCTTTTCAACTTTAAAAATATTTAATATTCAGCCCAAAAAGCAATATAACAGCCCCACCTGAAACACTGGAAAGGGAAGCAGAAAGATTGAAGAATTCAGTTAAGGAATCTGCTAATAAATACTAGACAGAACAGTAAAATGTAGCCTACCTATCCAATAAAAAAGGGAAATTCCTAATTATTTTAACGCATTTAAATGTTTAGTCGCTCAGTCAAGCTGACTGGCCTGCTGCAAATAAAAAAATTCAGGATGTATCTCATAACTTTGTTAAAGATAGAAAACTGTTTCCTGTGGAGGTGAAAGGTTAGAACATAATGCAGAGATCTCTGTATGAAGACTTTCTAGAAGGCTAGCTTTTACTTAAATGCTGTTATTATTTGCTTGATATTATTGTTTTTCATCTCAGCTCTGCCTAATTTCCATGTAAATGTAACAATAAAAATTGTTCTTAAAACAAAACAGCTTTTCCAATAAGCCAGCTGCATTCAGTTAACGTTGGATTATAATAGCCATACAGAAGATACAGATTTAAAAATATGTAATAACCACACTGTAATACATGACAATGTCTCTTAAATGAGAATCCAAGAAAATACATTTCTTATTAAACTTTCTGTGAAAAAAGTAAACTGCGCTTCAAGAGCATAATTTTCTTAAAAATGACAAGGTAAAATCTTAATTTTACATGCAGCTGAATAGTCTTCACAGACAGGCATGAGCTGTGCTCATGCAATACATTCTTACGCACATGGAGCTAAGAGGAAAATCATATGTTGTTTTGGACAAAATCTTGGACCGAATTAAGACAGTCCAAAGACAAGTTGATACTGGAAAAGAATGAGTGAATTAGATGTCAAAGGCTTTTGAATAAGCTTAGAATAATCATGAATGTATTAGTGTTTGCAAATTGCAAAATTCAAGGAAATCCCACAAGCTCTTGCCAGTAAGCAGCATCTTCCAAGTTCTGGAAACAATCAAAAGAACATAAGGCTATCTATTTTTAAAAATGTTTTGCTAAGATCAAGTATTTCTAGTACAGTACCATACAAGATGGTTAAAATGTAACTTCTGTTTTTTTAATCTCTTGAAAAGGAGGTGGATACAAACTAGACAGCTTTTCTAGACACTATTTCTTTATTAATGTACAATTTAGAAATGTTAAGAACTCCACTGATGACAGTAGTTGACACTGGCTTTCCTTCCTTTAATTTTACAGACATCATCCCTTTGACTCTAGTGATGCAGAAAGCAGCTTTCCAGTCCAGAATTACAAGGAAATAATTTCAGAACTCAACTTGAATCAGAAAACGGCATTTGCTTTACTGCAATATTGTACACAACGGTGACAGCAAATGATGTGATGACAGACCATGAGAAAGTACTGTCATACTGTCATGATTACAGAGAATGATACTCCAAGATTACAGGGAATAAGTCTAAAACTTATGGGTGTCGTGTTTCAGTGTTTCATAATATTTGTTGGCTGTAAAGTAGGTGGGAAAGGAACTCTAAAGGAAGAATAAACATTGGAAACTCTTCATTTCCCTTGGCGAGGATCAACATCAGAGGGGTCTGTGTTCATCTAACTCCTCCTCTGTCTTCTTCCTCCTTCTTTCCCAAATACACACATGCATGTGCACACGTACATACATCATCCAAGATGGGTGAAGAAAACATTCTAGCCAGGCATGGATTGTCTCCCATGGAAGTTACTGCTTCATATTCTTGACATATGAAAACAGTAACACAAAACATACCATTTAAGTAAGACTGCTGTCATTAATTTCATCATGACAGTAACATCTATTTTAATTTTCTTAATTAGTTAGTAAATAATTCTACTTACAAACATGTATACAGTATGATGTTACCATTAACTACAGGAGCACATAATAATCTACTTTATTCAGGCTCTTTGATGCATGTGTCAACTAAACACATTCAAGCACTAGTAAGCTAACATGTTGCAATTCTGCACGTAAAAAACTTCTAGAGGTGTATGGGACACTTTAGCCATGTATTTCACAAATACTTGCAAGGTAGGGCAGAACACCGAGTATCAGGAAACTTGGGGATACAGGTACTGCCAACAAAGATGGTTCTGTGCATTTCCAAACTTTTTGTTTCCTAATTCTTTCAAGATGTTCTACGGAAATCCTATCTCATCTCCCTTCCTAGCTGCTCATCCAATCTCATGAACAGACTCCTCTAGTCAATCTTAATACTCACTCAAATGCTTCACAGCAGTATAATGTAATTCATGGCAATTCACAGACTCAGAAAGCTGCAAGCAACTTCAAGAGACCATCCGTAACAGTAGGGATGCCTCTAAAGGCAGCACCAGCTTGCACACACACCATTTCCAGAAGATATCTAAGCATTTCTGAAAAACCCTCACTACACTAATTGCCAGGGAAGCATTCATCGGTTTTATTTCTTCTGTTAGAAAGGTTACTTTCACATCTAATTGAAATCTCCCTGATATTTAAGCCCATTAATTCTTATTCTATCCAGCATGGGCAGCAAAGATTTTTCATTTCTTTCTTGCAGCAGTCCCTATGTAATAGAAGGCTCCTCCTCAATCTTCTCTTCTTTAGAAGAAAAACAAGCATTACCTTTCACTGCATTTTATTTTCAAGACCTTGCATTGTTATCATTGTTCCAGCGTGGACTCTCTCCAACTATGTCACAACTATGAATGTAATACTCCAGCTAAGACCTTATTAAAGCTAGGCAAAGCTGAAGACTTCTTTCATACTTTTTGTAAGTTACACTATGTCCTGTTGATGTATCTTCTACAAAACGTCACTTACCTTTTGTTATACCACAATATTGTCAATTCGCGTGCACTTTTGATGTACTACAATCCTACATCTTTTTTTTTGCGCAGCAGATTGTTCCTTGTGTTCTATTTGTACCTAACTGTATGAGAATCTGCAGGAAAATTACAATTCTCACTTTTCTCTAATAAACTTAATCTAACACTTTCCTCAAATAATTTTTCCCTTCTGCAAGAAGTGCTTCCAATTCCACTACACTTCCAATCCAATAACAATGGAAACTGAGGCCTAACCTGTTATCATCAAGAAGAATTCCACTCAATACATCTTTCCAATTTTAATAATGAACCACTGGTAACTATTCTCCAAATACAGCAGATTCTTTCAGACCAAGTTTTCCCAGCTCACTCATGAGACAATGTCAAAAACTAAGATCATCATCTGCTGCTTCTCTCTTTATAAGGTCTGTTACCTTTTCTCATCAGAAACTGTGATCTGTTCTTTCCCAATTTGATATAGACATTATATCTTTTTCTAAGTGCTATTAATTCCACTAGTTACTGATTGCCATTGATTCTTTCGGTGGGGACTCACAGATGCAAGAAAGCCATTACTTTTTCAGTACTATCGGTTGACAATTTTCTCATTCTATTAATCTGAAGATCAACCCTTTCTTTAATTGTCTCCTCACTATGAATGTAGTTATAGAATTATTTCATTTTACTTATGTCTCTTGCTAGTTCCATGACATTGTTGAGTTAGACTATGATTTTCCTCACAATCTACTTTTCCATCCTTCCTTCCATTAAAAAAACAATTCTGATTTTACTGTCGTCTTGGATTTGAGATCAACAAACTTTCCCACCACTGCCAGCATCCTTGTCTCCTTTGCCCTCCTCCCCAGTTCCAAATACTCCTCAGATCCCAGACTCCATTTGTTTACCTCATTCCTTCCTTCAATGGTCACCTACCTAAACCTCTGCCCTTGGCATTGCAATGTGCTCCTACCTTAGCTTCTTGGCCCAGTTAATTCTAGGTCTCTTTCTATACAACAATTAATTAACAGATTAATTTATCTTCTATTCCCACCTACTTCTTGTTCACTCACCAGTTCCCAGGCCCAGTGGCCCTGTTAGGATAGGTTCAATGTCACACTAAATTCTATGTTTCATCTTAGTATCCTCAAACACTGGCTTTCTGTAGCCCTTTGTTACTCTACCCACTATACAGTCTTTCTGGAGACTGATTCCAGATGTCCCTCTCAGCACTTTATCCCCATCTACTTATTCTTCATCATAAGACTAGGTTTTGCCACTTCTGCACCTAAATTAGCTCCTCCTGTTTGTCACAGTCAAACAAGGAAATAGGCCACTGCAGAAATTGCCCAAAAATGAAGTTGGATGCCTAGAGCCAAAATCACATAAAGTAATAGGAATATTAACTGCAACATTCTTATCTGAGCAGAGCAGAAGCAAGAACAGAGTATTTATGAAACTTATTGGTTAAAAATCTATACTAGTTATACCAATCTATACTTAAAACTTGTGCAGAGGAACAAAAAGATGGTGAAACACATAGCTGTAGCTCAAAGGACAATCTTGCCTTATTTCAGTCTCAGGGCTAAAAAAGTTGGCTAAAGTTTTACAACAGAATTCACTGAAATATTCTAACAGAAGTAAAACCATGTGTCACCTCCCTTGCATCTTTCCCCAAATAGCTCCCAATCTTCTTCCTTCCCTTTTTCATAACCTGTGGTCCTATGATCACAGCTACAATAAAGGAAGATGCAGTATAAAACATGTTAACACCTTTCAGGAAAGGTTTTTACCTTGATATCAGAAGTGTCACGCTGACTATTGCGCCACGCTCTTGAAATAGATGAAAAAGTTCTATCTGCATGATCAAACTTCCCACCTTGTAGATTTAGGAAAAGTGTTGTAAAGGGTTCCTAAATATATATAAAAAGATTAATTAAAAACAGCAATTTATTTCTTTAGGAATTTGGGGAAAAAAAGGGGATTTATTATTCTTTGGGGGTTTGGTTATTAATGATGCTATTCTTCTGGCAGACACATGATTAATTGCAAAGGGTTAATTCTATTATCCAAGAATGAGAAATACAAACCAATGCTTGTTTCTTCAATAAATGCTTTTTATTCCTACTCCATGCATATATATTCAGGTAAAGAAAAGCCAATAAAAATGAAAGAAAACATTTACAGGCTGGAGGAGAAGCTACAGTCCATTGTGACACAAATTGCTCTCGAAACCACGAAAAAGCTCAACAGTTTTACCTTAGATATTTTTTTAAACTACCATGTAACAAAAATAACGTATGCATTTTATTTTGTTCAAGGCAATCTATTAATAAAAAGGGTGGCATTCAATACCAATACCTTTATGATTGTTATTGTTTAATATGCAATTTATGATTCAGAGAAGAAAAATGTTTGAAAGATTTAAAAGCCTCCTCTTAGTTAAGAACACTTAAGCACATATTAGTGGATAATTGCTTGAAATTAGCTAAGCGCCATAAATTACTTCAAGGATTTATGTATGCTTGTACATTCTAACAAGCTTTAATTAATGATGTGCTGCTAATGCTTTCCCAAAGAAATTACTTTCCAGGAGATAAATCGTCTTTCAATTTTATAGAAAAATGCATTGTTTAACCAATAATATCAACATGTAGCATCTCAAAAGTTACTTCCATATAAGTTGCAGGGTGGTTTTTAAAAAATTCATTATTTACATCACAGAATTTCATGATCATCAGAAACAACCTCATTTACATTCATTAGGAGGTGAAAATTAAAGGCATTCAGTAAGAACCACAAACGTTCAGTACATGGTCCAGTCAGGAAATATGCAAGGAAGGGAAGTTAACCATGTTTAAAGCAGTAGAAGAATGTACACTAGAAAGCAATTCTTAAGGAGAAAAAGCTTCACCGATTTGAAAAGACTGTACCATTAAAATTAAAACCTTTCGCTCAAACTTTCAAATACATTTATCCTACGTTACCGATTACAATTACTACAAAATTTCAGTACTCTCCTATGCCACTGAGTTTTAGTTTATACATTCCTAGCCATTTGTTGCTTTCGTTATCATTTAAAGGAAAAGCATTTTTAAAAAAAAATACTTACAATTCTTAACAACCATGTGAGTGCGAAACTTGCAGTTGAGTAATGCGTGCCATAGTGAAATTTGGGAACCTGATCATCTTCCCATGATTCATATCTCTCAGCAAAGAACGCTGCTCTCTTTGGGTTCAAAGCTCCAATAGGCTACAAGGTTTGTAAAAATAAATACATTAAGTAAATAAAGATAACATGACCTATTATCACATCATACTCCCCTCGCTCTTTTTGGTAATGAGAATTATTGACGTGCATGGAGAAGACTGGGTTTGGTGTTTTGCAAAAACAGATGCTGGATTCTGGAAGGACCTGAACAGATCTGTGTACTTCAAAACAGGATTCCATGCACACGCGCATGGCTGGCTGGAAAAGAGTCTCTTCTGCACTCATATAGGCTTCATTTCTACTTACTGCCGATTCAAGTCAACGACTAAAAACCACTTCACAGTGGAATGTCTTGGACAAAGAGTTGTTAACTTGCGTGCCTGCGGATACGTGTGCATGCTGAATACACTATTAAGCAAATGGTAAGCAACAATGAGAAACATCTTTGGATATTTTTCTTTGGAGGGGGGAAGGAAATTGTGACCAATAGGGTGGAAGAATATTAACAGTGCACTTGGAATTTTGATGTTACTGCTCCTGTTTCTACACTTTCTATTTACTATCCCAAGACAAGTTTTACTTAATGGATAAGACTTGAAACTTGGCAAGAGAAAAAATAGCAGGAATTTCTATATAAAAACATTGATATAAAAGAAACAAATAACATATGCATGACTAAAAAAGTCTATCACACTTTCGCCAACATTGCTATTCTTTGTTTAGTGCTTACCTAGGACATAGACACCCGGGGATTTATTTATATATAGCCGTGCATTTCTTCAGCAGACTTTTACATAAAGGATTTGGAAAAATGAGTATACGTCACATAAACCACTGAGAAACCCAAAAGTGAATTTAGCCATTCTACATGCAAAATGCTGCAAGAGATGTAAAATATCTTTGTATATACACGCAAAACGTATGTGCAATACAATTTTGTATATATACTGAACACACTGTTTGTATGCTATTAATGTAAATGATGCCCATCTGTACAGACAATGGGTGCATTTAAGTATAACTGAAGAATAAACATGCAACAATATTTTCTTCTTTCTGTTCTGCAAGAATAAATATACTTAAGAATACACTACAAGGTAAGGAAAAACTTTAAAAGTCCTTGAACAAAAGTATCATTAACCTAGTCATTAATTCAAGTATAGTTCAAGTGAAAAACTACGTCTGCTATTCAGATTATTATTATTCAAATAACTGCTTCTTTGCAGTGAAATCTGGCATACAAGCTTCAAAGTATTTTCTCTCTAAGATAGATTAGATCTATGAATGACCTAAGATCTAATCTTGGGTTTTTTACTTAGAGCAGCTTTCACATTGCAGTAGGATAGAGAAAACATCTTAGGTTAATTACTATTTTTGCAGTTCACTAATTTGAAATATAACCCTTTAAAAGAAGTGGTTCCTGTATAAAAGGATTTTTATCTGATTTAGCAAATTTATTCCAGGGAAGAATGAAACTGACCCCAAGAAGTCTCTTTGTTGCAAGAACCATTTTGGAATCTCCATCTGTACTGATTTTCCCTAAAGACTCAGCTATGCTTGAGGGAAAAAAGAAGAAAGAAGGTCATTGGTAGACAAATTATATAAATTAAAAATAGAAATAGTGTTGTGCTATATGGTTCTGTAACATTTTATGTACTGTCTTTATCTGCCCCTATTTTTACTACTCTCCAAATGAGTATAGCCCAAATCAATAGTTATAGAATTACATTCCTTGAATATAAAGCTAAACCCAATTAGAATTGATTTCATTCTCTTAAAAAAAAAAAAAAAAAAAAAAAAAAAAAAAGAGGTATCATGCAGAGATCCATATAGCCAGAATCCACAGTATTGATTTTGGCTGTTATTATTACAGTTGGTTTCTGAAGCCTGCAACAGGACAACTATCAAGACATGTCACATTTATTTGCAAGCAAATAAAAAAAGTCCCCAAATGAAAGAAAGCTTAGGGGAAAAAAAAGAACCATGGAGCTGTGCACTGACAATGATACACTATCAGCTTACTCAGAGAAGTTACAGTGGGAATACACACATTGAATTATACATTACACGAATGCACTGATTTATTGTGGTAATAACATCCACCTCATTAAAAGATTCTGCTTTGCTGCAGTTGGAGAGCTACATATTGTTTACTGCTATAAATTAATGGCAGCGCACAGAAGACTGTAGAACCCTTCTAACAATAGATCTGTAATGACAGTGCTGTATATCACAGCTTCCCCAGCAGCTTCATAATAAAATGGAGACAATGTATTGGGCTAATACATTCTACTAGGCAGGCCCATATTTTTCTGACAACTGCTTCTAAGGATGAGGTGATTCTAGTGTGCTACACTGCACTGTGAACAGTTAACTAAGCTTGAGCTACAGAATAAAGCACATACAAGGAATATTCAAATAACCTCTGACTTTTGATTTAGTAAACAAATTGACTGAAATTTTGTAATTATTTCATATTTCACAATTAACATGGAATCATGATTACAGACTGGATGCCCTCCTCTGTGGGTAAATGCCAAGGGAAAAAGAGTAACTCCAAACTAAGCTATGCTAGATGTAGCTGTAAGACCACAAATTTACACTGTTCAACATGGTGTCCCTATGACTACAGACCATTAAGGAAGAACAAGCTGAAAAGCTTTCATATCCAGAAATTCCAGAATATATTTTCTTTGCAGTACCTCCTTTCAGAGAGGAAAAATAGATATTAGTTCACCAATTAAAAATACTTATTTAGGTGGCAAGGGGGAAAGAAAAATAGAATAGAAAAATTCCAACAAGCAAAAACAATGGATAAGATTACAGGAGTCAAGACAAAAAAAAGAAGTCACTTATGGCTGCTAAGTTTTCAAACTGTATTGAAAAATGAATAATGCATATGATTTTCAAGTCAGAGTTCACTCAAAAAAGGGTCCAAACTGGAGGAAGAATTGGGGTAAGACAGTTTCTGTTTTCTCTTTTCCAAAGGCATGATCACCTGGTTTTTGACCCAAAGTGGTTGTTGTAATGTGCTACAAATATGAAAGTAACAAGCTATTCTTAAAAAAATCCTCATTTGATATTAATTTCTTAAGTGCTCTCAAATCTAGCAATATCTCAAAATAAATAAACCTCACATTTTGACCAAGAACTGAACATAGTAAATCTGAGTCTTTGGACCAAGCTTGCTTGCTTGCTTTATTTGAGACACAACAAAGAAAAATGGTTTGTTGAAAAATAACTGAGAAAACACACTGACTCTTACCATCTACTGCTGTTAAATATGTCCAGACACTATGGTGTATGGTTATATTTGTTGGTTCTTAATCTTACTCTGTGCCAAACATTGGAACAGTGGCCCATCTTGTCTCCATTTGCTGAAGAAGCCCTGTTGCACTCAACAGAAGAAAGCAGAATGCTCACTGCTCCTCTACATAGGGCAGTATCTCTTCTGGATTCTGTTGCTCATGTTCAACAATACATACATTTTGGAAAATTGCTAATGACCTAACATAAGCAGACCAGAGCCTTAGAAATAAAGATTTATGATATGTTTATTTATAATTACGTATTTAAGAAGAAAAAAGAAGGTGCTTTTTATTCCTATCTATCTAATGTGTTTTCATTTTTAAAATAGTGTTACTCCAAATAAACAGATATGCCACCCTGTTCTTACCCATGCTGGCTTTTACGCAGGCTTCTGTTACTAAAACAAACATTGACACTTTTACTGTCTCCTATCCATTGTAATACTGGGAAGTTTTTAACTTATTAATATGCAAAATCCATGAAAGACTAGAGTAGAGGATATGGCAGTAAATTGCATTTAATTACTGCAAACAATAAGTAACCAAGATACCATAGTTTTGTCTTCACTGTTAACTGTTACCTCTTTTGGTGAAGACAGCAATCTCAGCAATTACTGCTGGAAATCAGGAGGTCTGTGCAAGCGCCAGTGAGTAATGAAAAGTAGGTAGTTCCAGAAACTAAGTCCATGCTGATCAGTGCAAATTGGAAGATTTAAAAGTTAATGAAAATATTATTATTTGAAATGTGTACTTCAAAACTTTTTCATCATGAAAAAAATTAAAAGGAAAGAAAGAAAATAAAAGAAACAAAAAAGAAAAAAAGACAAAAAGAAAAAATGGATATAAGAAGAAAAAATGCTTTTCCTTGTGATTTCTTCCACTGTTTTCTTATCCACATCCAACCAGGTATTTGGATTCCTGTGTATACAATTGTCTGTATCGTTGAATTATGTTTTGCAGCATCTTTGCCAACTATGATGTTTGTTTTTCATGCATTTTATTTTCAAGATGACTATCTGGTTTTCATTACTGACATTTTTCATATATTCAGTGGGCTTAAAGGACCAGGGGGACCATGAGGTCATCTCGTCTAGCCTTGTGTTTGTATGACGAGCCATTAAATGCCTTTCCATTACATGATTTTGAGCCCAACTGTTTATACTTGATTATAGCATGAACTGTATTTGTCCAACCTGCTTTCCAGAAAGGCCTCTGAGTCTTGAGTACATGGACAATCTGCTATTTATCTTGGAAGCTTTTTCTTGTGATCCTCATTCTAAAAAATACGTACTTCAGCTCGGCTATGAATTTACTGGTGTGTTATCAAAGAAATCTTATTATGCTTCTCTCTGACATATCACAGTCTCTACTTGCCCAGTATTTTCTATATATGAAGATACTTATAGACTATAATTAGACTTCTTAATGAACAAAAGAAATTGAACTCTTCAGGTCTTCCATTTTAAGGCAATTCTTTCAGCCTTAAGTTTTCTCTGTACCCTGCCCACTTAATGGATTTTAAGATACAGATATCTGAAATGTGTTCGGTGTTCCCGTGTTAGTCTTCTCACTGTCAGAAATACGTCTAGTGCTGTATGCTCTGCAGCAGGCTAACCACAACTACATTTTTAGAGGACTGCTTGTTTACCTACTTTATGTATTACCAACCCATAATTAATTCCCAGAACTGGCTCATATTTGTAATATTGTCAGTGGGACTTCCTGATCATCTGA